GGGAAACGTAATACTTAAGCTCAGTTTAAGTTACAGCTTGGGGATCGATACCTGTGACATTAGTATTCTCATGTATTATTTTTATGGTGGTTAGCATAAACTTCTGTGCTTAGCACACAGAGGGAGGTTTAAATTGTTGGAACTAAGTTCTCAGCAAACCTACTGCATCAGGTTTTTCTGATACAGTCACTGAATGCTGATTAAGGCAGTGCAACACCAGGCTATACATGTCTCACACACGCAGGTGCTCTGTAGCTGACGTTTGCATTTAGTGGAAGCAACTTTAGCATAAGCCTCTGACCTCCCAGTAGAGAGATTCTGGAGTGGAAGGAATCAGATGCTGAAACTGTTGTGCTTACTCACAAAAAATGGGTTTTGGCAGTGGGACGTGTTGCCATGGCTGCGTAAGGAGAACATATGTATAGTCACTGTGGTTGGCTATACCAGTCTGCAGATACTGCCTGTATTAACGTTGGGATACTTGCAAAAACCATGTGAAATTTCACTGTATCAGATATCTCAGTTTCCAAAATGGTCAAATGCACACCTCTGCAGATTGAAGGTTTGCACTAAATGTCCTTCACATTCCTCCTAGCATCATTACTTTAAGCTGCTATTCAGAAACAAGTCTGCAGCAGTTTGAACACATCACATTTTTAACACCTGTTTTCAGTGCATTTCATATATTCTTTCCCCATTGCTCACTAAAATGAGAACAATATATAAGCGTTTCTGGTCCATGTGATGTCCTGTTGACCTCAGTGCCAGACTGGTGGGAGGGAATGTTTTTAGATCCTTCTCTTGCAAAGCCTCCCCCAAGGAAACGCAAGCAGCAGCTATGTTATGTTGTGATAGGGCCATGTGAGTGTCTTGAATTTTCTGGTTTGGGGATGAGCAATTCTTTGCTTTCCCAGACTCCTGACAGCTTCTGCCTGACAGCAACATGACTTACACAGAGTGCAAGCTTGTGATTAACCTTACAAACGTATTCCATTTGAAACTATTCAAATAGCTTGAGCCGTGTGGGTTACGTGACTGAATGATTGTCTCCTTGTTTTATGTAGGAAAAACGAGGTCAGGCAAGCCTGCAGAACGTAGTCTGGATGACAGTGTGTATCTGTTAAGTTACCTTTTGGATTGCAAACTCCCTGCTGGACTTTCAATTTGCAGTTTAAAACCATACTCTGTACAAGGACAACTGCCCCTCTCTGCTCTACCACAGGCACCTGGGGGTGGCCTGCAGGAGACCCATGTTGTTGCTGTACTCTGCTTGTAGTTTGTTTTGATAATGAGGTTTATCCTTCAATAGGATGCTAAGGTGCTTACTAGTATATATTTTTTGAGCAAGGAGAGAGTGGCTGGGACTTAGAGGTGTATGCCACAGTCTTGTGTTTGGGCAGCAAGCCTTGCAGTAAGAAAGCTAAATGACTGTAAGCATTCTTTTTTGTGTTTTGCTTAGATTAGCACTTCAGCTTAACTGGTTGCTTGTTTCTATAGTGACTCCATAGTAACTGCTGCAAGAGCTCTGAAGTTTATTCAGGCGTTTCCAGTCTGACTTTTTATGAAAGTTCTCTTTTCTTAGCTAATGGTGTGGCTGTCATTGACTGTCATTGGTATGGCTGCCAAATTGAACCCACACGGTACAATCGGGGCTGGTGTGGTGCAAAGCTGTGCCAACTGCACGCTTTTAACGTGCCCCATGCAAGCAAGCCCTTGGAAGGGAAGTGAGTGGCCTCTTGCTCTTCTCTTTGTGGGGCCTATGCTGTACTGTGTAATGGAAACCGAATCTCCTCCACTGGTGCTTTAAATGGAAAATGCTGGTAACAACACTGTTTGGTAAATGCCTTCTTTCTCCTAAGGCTGTGTGCTCCTTTCTGTCTATGCCAGACGAAGACATATGTCTGTCTCCTTCTCTTCTAAACAGTGGCCGTCTTTGGGTTGGATTTTCCAGTCGATGCTACCAATGCTGCCTGCCCAGAAGTGCTGGCATCTCCTCCCATGTCCCCTGCTGGGGAGGTCTGTGACACTGTGTTGGGGGGTGGGGGGGGCTGACGTTTTAGGTGCACAAGGGCTCTGCTCCTGTCTACTGAGAAGTGTGCAGGGCCTTCTTTCTGTTCTGAATTTCTGCACACGCGCGGGAATGTGATGGGGGAGCAAAGCTACCGCTTTTGGGAGGAGATGCGCGTTCTAAGGGTTGGTCTTAAAAGCAAAGGGCTTTCTCCTCGTTTCCCACCTGCCCCCTTGTCCCCTCCCTCTTTGTTAAGCTGGGTGCCAAAGAGTGCCCATTGTTGCTTTCTCCTCTGATACCTCACTAAAGAAAGATGTGTTTCTCCAGCAAGAAAATCCCCATTAAAGTGGTGCCCCTTTCTGGAAGTAACTGGGGCATGCTGGCACGTTTGGCTGATGCACTCGTAGCTGTTTTATCTGAATTTCTGCCTTGTAGCTCTGAGTTTCTTTTCTCTCCAGGCCTATGACTACAAGGCTGTGGGAGGCAGATGAGCCATGTGAGCACCAGCCTCGTCCGAGTAGCGGAGAATACTGGAGGGAGAACCGCCGGCAAAGCAAGTAGGGAGAGGGATAGTGTAACTTTGAAGGCTTGCTGGCCCTTGAAAAGGCAAAAGGGAGGGTTTGTAACTAACTTGTTGAGTGCAGCTCTAACAAGGGGAAGATGCATGTCCTCACACCTCCAAACCGCAGGCGACAGGAGCTGGTCCGTTCACAGATTCACAGATCCTGGTCCAGGATTGTTTCCTCCACGCTGGCCAGAATAAGCACAAAATGGCCTTAACGTATTTGGCAATCGGGTTCTTAGTGCATTGAACAGTGGTCTGTATGGAAATGCGATAATGTGCTTTCCTTTCTTGCACAACAGCCTGCCTGAAGCTAGGATGCACCAAGGACGAGCAAAGGAGTTACGCAGTGAATGTGGCGTGTCAGGTATTTAGCAGAGCTTGCTGCCTGTTTAGTAACATTTAGATCTTTGAGACCCTTTTTCAGTGGCATCCATTAGAAAGAAAACAGAGAATGAAGAATAAATCTGCTGTATTACAGGCACAATGAGCTCTGGATCAAAGTGGGATGGAGCTAGAAAGGTGATGTTTTCAATTTTGCTGGCCGGAGGGGTTGTGACTCAGATGGCCTGGGTAAACAATGAGGGAAGAGACAGTCCCTCTGGGAGTGAGCATCTGACTTAGCGAGCCAGTGGTTATTAAAAGATGAATACAGGAGAAGTGAACCATGCTTTCTGACTGGTAGTACTTTTTTTTCCTTTCTCCCTTTCTCTGGAAAAGCCTAATTTTAGAACAAGCCCTATTTATGGACTGTTCAGCCGCTCTGTTTAACTCTTGCTTTTCTTGTTTTAGAATGGTGGAAAAAAATAAATAGAACTGGCGGGGTATCCCAGCGTCCCGAGCGCGTTCCTGATGCAAGGCAGCAAGACAAAACGAGACCTTTCCTCTCAGTCTAATTTGTCTCTGCAGAGGCGACTCTTCCCCTCCCTCAGCTCTCTCAATCTTTCCTTGTGATCAGAGGCTGAAAAAATGTAACCTATAGACTGCTCCTGGTGTTCAGCAATGAGCTAGCCCCTACTAATTGTTTTTTTTTTTTTTTTTTTTTTTTTTTTTTTTTTTTTTTTTTTTTTTTTTTTTTTTTTTTTTTCTTTTTTGAAGTGTAGCTGCCAGATAGTCCTCTTCCTGAGACTGGTGCCAAGTAAGAGTTGAAGGATTATTTTATGTGTCTATGGATGATACTCCTGTTCATACAGCTCAGCGTGATGATCAGTCTTTACAATCGCACGAGCGTGCTGAGTCCACTTTAGGCTGTGACTTGATACAGCCTGAGATCCTGTGCGAACTGCTTATGCCCCACTGTGGAGCTGTGCAGAAGACTTTCTCCTTCTGCTCAGTTCTTTGCATTTCCTCCTGTTACTTAGCATTGCCCCTTCCCTCCCCTGCGACTGCTTTGTCGAGATAATTTTTAATTGTAATCTTGTTTTGCAGAATTTTTGAGTGGCGATTGCCTGCAAATGCAGTAAGTGCGCTCTGTTTCAGCTGAAATATTGAACAGTAGTTGAAGGGAAAGCCACTAAGTGTCAGTGTAGTTTGAGAGCGAACCAATAATTACCCACGAGAATGCCTTTTTTACCTTTGTGTCCACATCTCTCTCAAGTTTTATTTGTATGAAGTGCCTATAATTTATAGGAATATCATGCAAAATCATGACAAAACCCTGGAAACACTTATATTTTCAGAATTAATTTTTTTTGAGCAATAGTTAAAGGCTGTGTCAAATTCAGCTCGGGTGCAAGGAAGCAACTCTTGCTGTAGGTACTGTGTGCTGTTAGTTGTGAAGGCATCTGCTTTATTAAGTAAGGCAGTCTGATATCAAAACTCTGTTGTCAGATAGGTCTGGCCCCTCCCTAGGTTTTGCTGCTCTGAGGAGCTACTTTGGTCTGAGACTTTGTCTTTGGGAGGGGCGAAGGGAGAATAATCTATGCAAAACCTCTCTCAGCTGGGAATTGGTGCAAGAGATACTTCATCTGGGGGTGCATGTGTGCCTCTTGCTCCCTTTACACAGCTGAAGCTTTACTGAAAAAAGCTGTAGATTAGGGCATGCTGTGAGGAGCCAGAGTGGACTTAATTCATGCGGAAGAGCCTGTCTCGCAACTGGGAGTGCTGACTTAGAGGGAAGAAGCCTCCTGAAATCCCCCCTAACTTTCCAGGTTCCCGGCAGCACGGCTGTGCGCTCAGGCTGGTGTGAGGCTGTCAGCAGCTGGGGAAGCGGAGCAGGGTGAAGCCGAGCAGGCTGCGTAGCAACTGCATTGCAAAGGGGTAACAATTCCCAAGTGAGGCAGGAACAAAATCGATTTTTCTCCCCTTCAGCTTGGCAGCTGTCCAGGTGCCTGCTGTGGCACAATGAAGTGTGTAGCTGGCGAGGGAGGGACTTGGGGTTGGTGTGGGGGGAGATGCACAGAGACTGAAGTTTAATCATTGAACCAATCACACGGGATGGATTTATTCCTGGACTCAATTTCCCAGGAACTCTACCATCTCGCCCTGGAGGAAATGCCTCGGCTGACATTTCTCTAGCTCCGGCTTTGTGAGTTAAGGACCAGTTGCTCTGGAATTACTCGCAGCAACTCTGTCGCAACTGACACATCCATCAGCTCCGAGAAAATGTTTGCTGTCCACTTGCTAGCTTTCTATTTTACAAAACTAAAAGAAGATCAAATAAAAAAGGTATGTAAGATGCAGCATTAGCAGAGATTCCTGTTTTGAGTGGATCTGTATTACTCAGACGATATTTTATGGGATCTGCAGTGTGTAGTACAGACCAGATAATGGTTTTATCTACTTAAGCCCTAAAGATGAATGGGGGTAAGAAGTATTTGGACTCCTAACCATCTGATGACTGTGTGAAAAAGATCTGGTTTGTATTTTTACCTGCACAGTAGTAAAAGCTCTCTTCCAGTAAGGGACTAAATCCTTTTCTGTAAGGAAAACTAATGCTAAAACTTTAGGACCTGTATTCTCCAGCGTGGTGTAACACAGTCCAGAGGGCAGCAAGGAACTCCTTGCTGAATTGCTTTGAGAGTGTACCATGAAGGGTGGGATTTTTAAGCTGAGCAGGAATTTGATTCTCGTGTTGTAGTAGGGGGTGGGGAAAACTGGGCTTTTTATATCAGCTCTTTTGGGACTCGACACACAGTTTCTACTAATGTTAGTGTGGGAGAAGGACCCGTATCTCCTGTCTAGTTGTCTGACCTGGCTGAGGACTCTAATATTAATGAGCTTTAATTAAAGATGGAGAAGTCCAAGATGGTTCAGATCTTAAGGTGTCAGTGCTAGGAGTGAGCTGCCTAATGGTTACTCTCCTTGGACACAGACCAGAGCGTTAAGTCTGCTTCTGTAGCTGTGCTGCGGTGGGCTGTTGTCTCTCCATCCTAAAACCCCACAGGGCCTGCATGCTCACTGGCTGGGGAAGTCCTCTGGTTTCTAGCCGTGTCCTCTGAGGGTCCCCTGTTCTCCTGGCCTCTCCATCAAGTGTTTTGTGAGGGCTATCTCTACCCCGCCCTGCCTTTGTATTTTCCAGCCGTTTGGGAGCAGGGCTGTCCGCAGATGCGTAGCAGCGTTGCAGATCCAAGGTCCCTGCAGATAGTGCTGTCTCCACCACTGCGTTCATCAGATAGGCAAGTGACACCAGGTTTCCATGCACCCTCGCTCAAAAGTGGAGTGACTTGTTCTTAAGGGACTTCTTCCACTACTTCTGGTGTTACAGGCACTGGCCATTCCTGCATTTACAATCAAACGGTGCGTTAGCGGGGCCTTGCTCTGGTTGTAAATCAGGCTAGAGGCTCAGTGAGCTTTCCTGGGCTCTGCCTTATCTAGTACTTTGGAGAGGACTGGCCCTTCTCTGGCTGTAGGTAAACAGGGTGGAGAATGCAATTTATATGGGAAGCAGATAGCTAGCGTGTGACCTCTGCAAACAGAAACGTAGACATTTTTATTATTTTTTGTTTCCTTTTGCAAGGTACTTCTCTTGTCAGTTATTTGGAAAAGAGGATCTATGTAAGAGAGAGAGCGTGCGCTGTCTCTCCAGTCATATTGTGGTGCTTGGGCTGAGAAGGTAATTCTACGCAGTGGCAAGGCTCAAAAAAGCATGGGATGAAATCAAGTGTTTGTGCAAACCAGGGCTACAAAGAAGGGCCTGAAAATGGCCTTTTAAAGACATGGCTGTAGCCTAAGACAGCTGCCTCTTCTCATTTTGTATATTAAATTTTTCTCCAGTGTGTATACAGTTATCGTTAGATAAATGCTTCAGTTATTCTCGGGGTCCCAGCTCTCTCAGGTAGGTCATTTCTGCCCATCAATTGTAAAGGGGACTGTGAATAGGTAATTCTTTTGTAGAACTGTGCCTTGGTAATATAGGTGGCTGGTCACTTACAGAAGAGGCCAATTTATCCGTGGCCTATCCATGACCCTTCTCTGTTTAAACAAGGCTACCTCTTAAATCTTGTTGCCAGTGGCACTTGTTTCATGTATGTTCTCCCATCCCTCTAGATCTCCCTGTGTGAACAGGACTGATGAAACACTCTGAACGGATAGAGCAGCATCAAAACATAGCCCCTGGTACAAGAGCTCCTAAGCGTCTGTACTAGAGAGGCCTAGGAAGCTGTTCCACCTCTCTCTCCTGCCTGATGGCTCTGGCCCTGAGCCTTGTGTTGTAGGGAGTAAGATTTTCACACCGATTACCTTCCAGGGTTTGTCCAGCTATTTGGAGCACAGAAACATTATGCCTGTATCGTGTTTGTTCTTACAGCACTGGAGTCTGGCAGAAACTGCAGGGCTGCCCAGTGGAAATGAAAAACATTTTGATAACAGCAGATTCTTCTTTTGCTGCATTAATCCTTTGTCGTATCTTGCTATGTAGGTTCCAGGCCGCCTTTCTTATAGCCATGTGTCCAGCCCTGCAGGTAAATGTCAGTCCAAGGAGTCATGTGGTCATGAAGAGGAAAATCTCCAGCTTTGCCCAGGTGAAGCTGTGCAGAAACATTGCCTGGTGTCTATACCGGTTTATCTGAATGAGTGCTCCCTTCTCCACGGATGCTTTTGATCCCCTTTGAATTTGACTGGCTTTCACTTTGATTGCATGCTGCATGTTATAGACCCTTCAGAAAGGGTATTATTGGTTGCACCCCAAAATGTTCTATACGTCTGGTCCTAAAATCACAGCAAATAGAAGGCAGAGCTGGGATGGGAATCAGACTTTAAGCTCAGCCTGGCCTGTCAACGAGGTTAATTGTCCTATGGAGCGAAGCGGTAGCTGAATAGATGTTTTCAGATCATGGCTGACATGCTTGGGCACTGACGGTGTTTTCTGGATCTAATTCAGAGAGGTCAGATTCTCACCAGGTTGAGATACTTATACAGACCTAGTTTATGATATGTATAGGATAAAAGATGGTTTAAAACCAGCCCATTAGGATCTGGAGCAAGACTTGGAGGCTTACGTAGGGTGGCAGGTTACTGATCCATCAGAAAAGGTGGCTAATGTTTTGACACTGTTTTGCCAGGGTCAGGTTAAAAACTCTCAAAACAAAGTTTTTGTAAGAGTTAGTGTTCTGATGATGCCTTGGAGTTTGCTTCCGGTCATGTTCATGGGAATTTAGCTACTGAGATCAGAAACAAAATGAGCTTGTAGAATCAGAGAGGTGGGTTTGCATAGGTGGTAGCTCACCTTTAGCCTGTCGCGCACGTGGAACGAATCCTTTGCCTCTCTGTTGGGTCTATTTAGCCTCGTGTTTGTCAGGCAGGTGGCAGTGAGCGAAGCGATACTTGTCTGGCACTGTGCAGCAGTGCAGCTGGAATTGGAGTCCAGGGTGTTTTTTGGGCTTTCATGTCAAACTGCACCCCTTATGTTTAGAAAACTAGTGAAAGTGGCTAGGAAAATCCTGCTCTTTTTCTCTGCTGGCTGAGATTAAGGAAGCCTCCCCTGGTACACGTGGGAGAGACCTTCTGTAGCAAGAGAGCTGTGCCCAGCCCAGCTGGCTGCCGAGCACCGAGGAGCCTGTGCGCCTCCCAGTAACGCCTGGCCCGTTTCCAGGTTGACAGGTACCTGTATCATATGCGCCTCTCTGACGATGTCTTGCTGGACGTGATGGCTCGCTTCCAGGCCGAGATGGTAAAGGGCCTGGGGAGAGACACGAACCCTACAGCAACGGTGAAAATGCTGCCGTCGTTTGTGCGCTCGCTGCCCGACGGCTCAGGTGAGTCCCCCCG